GTGGGGTGGGGGGAAAATGCCTGGCTGGCTCCATCAGTAGCCAGTGACTCTTGTTCTGGGGTTGTAAATTTGAACCCCACTTTGGGTATAAAGATTACTTTAAAAAAATGTAAAAAACTAAAAAGATAGCTAAGTGAGATGAAGAACTGTATTATCCTAATAACTTAATTTTAGAAAATCTTACCTGTATCCTAATCAGACATTTCATGGGCAAGTTAGGATTTTTTCCAATAATTAGCTTAAATCCCTTATGCCTGTAATGACTTTGTAAATGACCACACAGGTTACACCTACATGTGGTCAATGAAACTAACCAAAGCATAATGAAAACATTCCATTCAAATGTTAATTGGTCCAGATCACTCCACAGCTGAACTGGTTTCAGTGCGTCCAGTTATGTGTAGCTGGTATTTAGTGGTTTGGCTCTTTTTATATGCAATCCTAACCACAGTTAGTTTGCAAGCAGATTTGGTACTAAGAGCCTTACAAACAATGTAATAGCAGCCAAAAAGTCCATCAAGCCAGGAGGCTCTAAAAGGACCATAACACGTGAAGGTATTTCTCAGTGTTGGTGGTTACAGGTCAAATATGCTCTTATTGGAAAGTTCATGTTCAAGTTGGAAGCACATATTAGTGTTCGTAACTAAACCTATTACGAAGGCAGCCCTGAATTCAAGATGCGTGTGTGTCTAAGGGCAATGACTCCATGAGCGAAACAGAGCCTCACATATGGCTACGCTAGTTAATAGGGTCCTTGACAAGAACTAAAGAAGGATAAGGATGCCCCTAGAATGGGGGTACAGTTTACATGCAAACTAGTGGCAATCACAGCAGATTACCCAGGAGCTTAACAAGATGGTAGAGAAGCCAAAAAAGGAGAAATGAGAATAGGAGCCATGGAGCTAGGGGAAAAGGAGCAGGAATTACAACTCGAAGCTATTAGAAGAAAGGGATTTGGGGCGCCTGGGTGGCTCAGCGGGTTAAGCCTCTGCCTTCAGCTCAGGTCATGATCTCAGGGTCCTGACACTCTACCTCTTCACACTCGCCTCTCAATAGCTCTGCCCACACACTTGCACTTGAGCTCAGTGATTTTTTTCAAACTTTTTTTTTTTTTTTAAGTGGTAGACTACCGAGTTCTAACAAAGCCTTTTTAGGTACCCCGATATGCAAAATACAGGAAAGCAAAACTACCTTCATTGGCCCCTAGGGCACTGCTTCGAAAACACGAGTACGCTGCAGTACAAAGTTTGGAAAACTACTGCAGGCTGGTCAAACGAAGCTAACTGAGATTTGCCAAACATGCCCGGCTTTCTTTCGCTTCTATTCCTTTGTATATGATGTTTCCTCTGACTAGAATGCCTTTCCGACCTTTTCTGCTTTGCTTAATTCTACTCTGCCTCTAGGACCCAAGGCACTTTCTCTCCTCTCGGATGCCTTCTCTGACCTCCCTAGCTGGTTGGTACCTTGGGCCCACCTCTATCTAGGTATTTTTGCTATACTCACTCTCTCTCCCTCTCTCTCTCTCTCTCTCTCTCCCTCCCCACCCCTCCTTCCTTCTCTCTCTTCTTTCCTTCTTTTTCTTTCTTGGAGTAAGGATTTTTTCTCAAGCACATTTCTGGTATATAATAAGAGCTCAAAAGTGTGAAATGAAGAAATACTATAAAGAAGTAGAGAAAGAAGGGAGTAAGAAAAGGCCACCGAATGTGACAACAAAGAAGTAGTAAAAATCTTTTGATAGAAAAATGTATTAGAATGGTAGGAACTGAAGTCAGGTTCAAGAAATAATGGACAAACAGAAACATTTAGGAGGTTGTAGCTGTGTCTATATGGAAGCCTATTAGAGATTTTGTTCCTATTTTTAAAATATTCGTATTTGCCCCTGTATTCTCATGGGGATTTAAAATTTTTTATTTTATTTGACAGAGAGAGAAAGAGAAAGGACACAAGTAGGCAGAGCAGCAGGCAAAAGGAGAGGGAGGAGCAGGCTCCCCACTGAGCAGAGAGTCCGATTTGGGACTGGATCCCAGGACCCTGGGATCATGACCTGAGCCAAAGGCAGACGCTTAACCAGCTGAGTCACCCAGGCATCCCTCGCTGAGATTTTTACTTCGTGTTGAAAATCTGTTGATAGGGCACCTAGGTGGCTCATTGCAAAGTAGGAGAGCAATATTATTCCCATTTTATAGCTGAGAAAACAGGCTCCAAGTGACTGCCTCGGGCTTCCTCAGCTACAATGTCTCATTCAATTTGACACCATGGTTATAAAATGGGCTGTCATTTTACATATCACTGAGAAATCCTTTAAAGCTTTTCAATTTAACTATGGTATATCATTGAATGTAAGGCACTACCTGATTTCAGAGATATTAAAACCTGAAAAAAAAAGTGTATCTTGAAATTGATTAGATATGATTTCATCCAAACGAGAGTCCAAAGCTCCTGTCATTAGTCACCATACCATACCACCTAGCTCTCTTTAGCTATCTCATAGATGTCATTCATTCTAATCTTATTTCTCGGGGGAGAAAACTAATATTGAGAGCAGAGGAGGGGACTTGGAGAAGGTCATACATGCAGCTAGTAAGTAGATTAACCAGGAAGGGAAGCCACGTCCCTGAGACCCAGGCTAGAACACTTTACATGCTGTCATTTAAGCTACCCTGTCTTTTCCTATAGGTAAAGAGGTATTGGGAAAAATACCAGAGTGCCATGTGTAAGAATAAGTATTAGGTATTTTATGTAGGAGCTAAATCTACTCAACAGAATGTTTATGTCAGGGGCAGCTGGCTGGCTCAGTCAGAAGAGCATGTGACTCTTGACCTCAGGGTTGTGAGTTCAAGCCCTATGTGGGGTGTAGAGATTACTTAAATAAATAAAGCTTTTAAAAATAAATAAATAAATACTTAACGTGAAACACATGGGCTCTGTATTAAAGATGGAAGTTTCCCACAAAATAGATTTAATTGTCAATAGACAGCATTTCTTGTAACTGCTATTCATAGAATTTCAGCAAATAAATAATAAATAAAATAAAGACAATACCCTAGGGATAGTAAAGAATATTTAAAGATTGTAAAGAGTATTTAAAATAACACATGCTGGGACGCCTGGGTGGCTCAGTGGGTTAAGCCGCTGCCTTCGGCTCGGGTCATGATCTCAGGATCCTGGGATCGAGTCCCGCATCGGGCTCTCTGCTCAGTGGGGAGCCTGCTTCCCTCTCTCTCTCTCTCTCTCTGCCTGCCTCTGTCTACTGTGATCTCTCTCTGTCAAATAAAAAAAAAAAAAAAAATAACACATGCTATAGGGGTATGTGGCTGGCTCAGTCGGTAGACCGTGGGACTCTTGATCTCAAGGTCGTGAGTCCAAGACCCATGTTAGTTGTGGAGCCTACTTAAAAAAAAGTAATACATTCTACTATAAGTTTTATTTGTGGGGCGCCTGGGTGGCTGTCTGTAAAGCGTCTGTCTTTGGCTCAGGTCATGATCCCAGCATCCTGGAATTGAGCCCCGCATGGCATTGGACTCCCTGTTCAGCAGGGAGCCTGGCTACTTCCTCTCTCACTCCCCCTGCTTGTGCGCTCTCTCTCTCTGTCAAATAAAGAAATAAAAATCTTTAAAATAAAAAAAGTCTTACCTGTATCATCTTATCTCCCTTGTGGCTAGCGCCCACTTAGAAGTTCAATAAAGTTAGGTAGAATGAGGGTAACGGAAGTAGAAACCTTTTGCAAGCAATTATACTACAAGGCTGGAAATACCTGACTCATGTCAAGTCGACATGTGTGGCATACACGGCTTCTTCCTACATTGCTGTTGATAAAAAGGCTTTAACAATGTATTAAAGTAATCATCAGTATAAGCAGATGTCAAAACTAACTACCAGAAGGAAAGCCGCTTCAAAAAGAAAAGCCTGTTCAAATGAAAATGATATTAAAAAACTATTGGAGACTCTGAGCTATAAAATTGAAAGCACAGATAGTTACCCTTCGATTCTTGTCCATTTGATCATGTCTTTGACGCGTTTGCTTCTGGAAGTATTCGTTCCTTCTTTTCATTATTAAAAACCTGATACAAATCATAAACGTTGATAATTTAAAAGGCAAACTTTTATTTTCAAAGAAATTAAGTAAAATGTATGTTTTCAAGCAATATTATTTTATTATGCATATTTCAACATCTGATCTAAGACAGAATACTAGATACAATTAAAATACAAAAGAGTGTTTTGATAAGTGATTTTTCAGCTTAGGTGTGAATTATTACTTACCACATGCATAACAAAGATCAGAAGTTAATCAGGCATTTGGGTGACTATTTTTGTTTAAATTTTCCTCAGGAGTGATGTCAGCAAGATGATACTTAGAGACTCAATGCTTTGTTTCTTCAAAATTCCTGAATTGAAACCCTAACCCCCAATGTGATGGTATGTGGAACAGAGGTCGTTTGGTAAGTAATTAAGATTAGACGAGGTCATGAGGCCAGGGCCCCATGATGGGATTAGTGTCCTTATAAGAAGAGGAAGAGATCAGTTTGCTCTCTCTCCACCACGTTAGAACACAGAGAGAGGTGGCTGGATACAAGACAGGAAGAAAGCCCTCACCAGACTCCTGCCATGCTAGTGCCCTGATGCCAGACTTCCAGCCTCCAGAACTGGAAGAAATAGATTCCTGTCATTTAAACCACCCAGTCTGAGGTATTTTGCCATGGCAGCCCAAGCAGACTAAGACAACAGCAGACTAGGAAGCTATAGGCCCTCCTTGCCTGAGAGATAACACTGAATTAAAAGCTATATATAGACTAGAATGTCTCTATGAGAACTCTAGAGACCAGCTGAGAAGCTACAGCACCCAGGCCATTATAAAACCAAGAAGGGATTCCAGGGAATAGGGTAGGAATATTCACAACATTTAATGTGCCCATTTGTGTCCCTCCCCCTATGCCTCCAGCAGAGAGCAATTGGGGATAAGAAAAACCCATACGAGGGCTCCTCCCTTGGGATGGAAACTAGAAGTGGACCATGTCTGCAATGTTCTGGTTTCTCTGGGGGCTGCCTGAGGGACTGGTTTTTGTCTCACCGGATTCAGAACATTCGTGGGACCGGTGCCAGAGTTTGGAAGCTACTGAAAACAGAAGTAACCAGCACAGCAGAGCTGCAGTTCTGTAGGCAGATGCCAAGCGGTGCAAGATTATAAAAGGTCTGAAAGGTGCTAGAGTCCCCAGACAGTAGATTGGCGGTCTTCCTCTGCATGAAGCCAGTATTAAAAAACTAGGGAAGATGTTTATTATTTCAAACGCCCAAATTCCTTGGGGTGCCTGGGGGGCTCAGTCGGTGAAGCGTCTGCCTGCCTTTAGCTCAGGTCATGATCCCAGGGTCCTGGAATCAAGCCCTGCATCCGCCTACCTGCTCAGCAGGGAGTCTGTTTCTCCCTCTCCCTCTGCCTGTGTCTCCCTGTGCTTGTGGTGCTTGTGCTCCCTCTCTCTCAAATAAACAAAAAAAATCACACACACACACAAAAAAGCCCAAATCTCAGCCAAAAGCATAAGACATACAAAGAAACAGAAACCTGGTCCAATCAAAGGAACAAAATAAGACAGCAGAAATCAGCCTTGAAGCAATGCAGATCTATGAACTACCTGACAAAGAATTTAAAATAATGGTCATAAAAATGCTCAATGAGCTAAAAGAGAACACAGGTACATGACTAAAGGAAATCAGGAAAATGGTGCATGAACAAAATAAGAACATCAGCCAGGAAACAAGAGACTATAAAAAATAACCGAACAAACTCTGGATCTGAAAAATATAACCGAAATGAAAAATTCGTTAGAGGGTTTCTGCAGGAGATTGGATTCGGCAGAAAAAAGAACCAGCAAACTAGAAGACAGGTCATTGGAAATCACTGATTTGGAGGCGCGAAAACAGATACAAACGAAGAAAAATGAAAAAAGAGTCCAAGGGATTTATGGTACATTATCAAGAGGGCCAACATACGCATTACGAGAATCCCAAAAGGGGAGGGGGGTAGAGAGTTTATTTGAAGAGGTAGAAGCAACCCCAATGTCCATTGATGGATAAATAAAGTGTGATATATACACGCAATGGAATATCTTTCAGCCTTTAAAAGGAAGCAAATCCTGTCACATGCTACCACACAGATGAACCTTGAGAATATCATGCTAGGTAAAATAAGCCAGTCACAAAAAAACAAATACTACATGATTCCACACGCAGGAGGTATCTAAAGCAGTCAAAGTCACAGAAACAGCAAGGAAAATGGTAGTTACCATGCGTTAGGGATAGAGGGAAAATGGGAAGTTATTATTCAATGGGTACAGAGTTTCCATTTTGTGAAATGAAGAAGCTGCACAGATATGTTTCACAACATTGTGACTATACTTAAAGTCACTCGAATGTATGCTTGAAAGTGATTAAGATGGTAAACTTCATGTTGTTTTTTACAATTTTTTAAAATAAAAAGATGAGGGGCGCGTGGGTGGCTCAGTGGGTTAAAGCCTCTGCTTTGGGCTTGGGTCATGATCCCGGGGTCCTGGGATCGAGCCCCGCATCAGGCTCTTTGCTCAGTGCGGAGCCTGCTTCCCCCATCTCTCTCTCTGCCTGCCTCTCTGCCTACTTGTATCTCTGTCTGTCAAATAAATAAATAAAATCTTTAAAAAAATAAAAATAAGGGGCGCCTGGGTGGCTCAGTGGGTTAAAGCCTCTGCCTTCAGCCCAGGTCATGATCTCAGGGTCCTGAGATTGAGCCCCACATCGGGCTCTCTCTGCTCAGCGGGGAGCCTGCTTCCCACCTCTCTTTCTGCCTGCATCTCTGCCTACTTGTGATCTCTCCCTCTCTCTGTCAAATAAATAAATAAAATCTTAAAAAAATATAAAAATAAAATAAAAAATTAAAACGATGAAACTCATGAACTCTTAAGATGTTGCCAGTTGCCATAGATCCTGTCACATAGTCCAAATTTCTCCTTTCACATAATAGGAGATTGAGATCCAGAAAGAGTAAATAATTTACTTGATATATTTAGTGACAGAATTGGGACACAAAGCCATGTCTTCATATTCTTATGTTGTTTCCACTCACCCATGCTACTTATACTCCATTAGGAGCCTTTCATTAAAAAAACACAGATCAGATTCTCACTGGCATCTTCTTTCAAGAAATAAGAAAAATACTAACAACCGGGTAACAAACAGAGCTAGGGAGTAGTGAAGAATTTGGGAATACAGAGAGGGAAATCAATCGGTCTGAGAGGACCTCTGTTTTTAGAGCAATACATAGTAAATTAGAGATTCTAGACCCAAAATTGATTTGTCAGTTGTACTCAGGTTTGAATCTGTTGCAAGAATTACTTGGAATGCTGGTGTGGTAGTAAGATGTCAGTTGTCACTCTATAATTGGAGTTTAAATGGCAAGCACTCCAAAACTAAGTACCTCATTTCCTCTGAAGCTGTTATCTGTGCTTAGAAAAGCTTTGTCTGGGCGACAGCCCAACTAATGTAAAGAAATGCGCATTTTGCCATTCATTTCATGTAAATTATTTAGTGGAGAGTACAAAAGACAGTTTTTGTTCTGCTTTGCTTCTCTATTTACACACCACTTTCCTGGCCAAGGCAGGCATCTGTCTCTGGATATCATAACTGTATCAGGAAAAAGGAGCAAAAGCTGAAATCCAGTATTTTGGAGGTGTGAAACATCCAAATCCACACCTTGTTTACAATAAATTCTGTTTAGAGTTTTTGAGAATCATAGTGCTTTTTCAAAATTGAAAAAAGTTATTGTAAATCTCCATAAATAAATAATATTCTGAATATTCTATCATTCTTTATTCCAGATTATTTGCACAACTACTTTTATTTAGACCACACTGGGCTGCTACATTGGTGGCTTGTTTAAGGCAGAAATATACAGAGAACTTCTGGTTTGTCTTTAGCTCCTGGTGAAGCTGGCCTGAGAGGAAGATTTGGTCTGAGGGCATGAAATCACTGAAGTCTTCATTTTCTACTTGGTGAAGAAGCCAACTTCAGATCTGAAGAGTATTATTACACCTAATTGGTCAACTTATGTATAGTATGAGAATGCAAAATTATGGAGTAGAAGAATTCATCTCCAAGGGATCAATTATAAAAGTATATTAATTTTCTGTACTTTATGCATTCTTTCATTCTTCTATAATAGTTCAGCATTTGATAACTTCAACCTTAACTGATCAAGTCTACTTATTTGTGCTGAGACTACAAAAAAACATAGTAATAGACGATAAAGGAGAAAAAAAATGAACAGAATTGTTCATTGCATTTTAAAATGTAAAATGGCATTGGGCCTCAGGGGAAATATTATGCCATTTGACAAACAAAAATTACTGTATAAAATGAAGTAAAACATGAAAATCCCTGAGAAATGCAGAAATATTAACTACATGTCATCAGTGTTAAATTTTAATTTTTTATAGCAAATTATTTGTATACTGTTAATGTAAGTAGGATGGGGCCTTTAGCATTAAAATGGTGCCTACATCAGACATTGTCTATATACACAATAACCCACACATACATTTTGGAAATCATTTTTTAGCTAAAACTAGTAATTCCATGCAGTTGTTAATATGTTCCATAATACTTGACTAGAAGTTTATAGGCAATGCAAACTGAAAGCAATTACTGAGGACTTTGAACTAAAAATAAACTTTTACTCAATTACCTAGTTAATCATAATAAAGATGTCTTGTGGTTTTTGAAACTCAACCAATTTGCAATACTATTAAATTACTTTCCCCACCACGGGCCCCACCCAGGGCAGACAGACCTAGCCTAACAGTTTTATCCGGTAACAGTAAATATACACAATATATTCAAAATATATTCAGAAGGTTAGTGTTGCATCTATGCATAGAATAACATGCTCTCCTACGGTCTGATTGGAAGAAAACAGAAAAGTTCAGCTGCCGAAAGATACAACGATCATTTGTGTGCTGAGAACTCAGAATACTCTCTAGGAAGGAGACAGAGGAAAGAAGCACAGAAATTCATTATCAGAGAAGATGTACTATCGAATCTAGCACAGTTTGTTGTTAGATTAGCCAGCCTAACAAGCTGGAAGTTTTAAAGGGAATGGGACACTGAGTCAATATATTTTTATTGTGGGGAAGGCTTAGTAGGAAAGGCTGAGTAAATGGGGCTCCGCCAGGGAAAGCCAACCTAGATGTAACAAGTTCATGAGGGCCCACTGGAAAACTGGATGATAGGAGAGGTAGTCAGCAAGTTGAAAGATAATTGATGCCATGTATATGTTATCTCCATTCTACTAATATCTCAGTCTCAATACAACGTCTGTTACAAAAACCTATTTAGACACTAAAATATGGATCTATAAAAAAGAAGCATGCCCTTACATTTCCACATTACTCAACACATTATACTAATGATTAAGTATTTATTATGTTTTTACCTGTCAAAATCAGATTCAGTTTTGGGTGATGTTTTGACTCTTTCTGTTGGTGAATGTCTTCGATATCCCCCTGATTGGCCATAAGATCTTCCTGATAGGATATGAGATCTCCCTGATGGGGCATGAGATCTCCCTGATGGGGCATGTGATCTCTCTGATGAGACATGAGATCTCTCTGATAAGACATGAGATCTCCCTGATAAGACATGAGATCTCCCTGATAGGACATGAGATCTCCCTGATGGGGCATGAGATCTCTCTGATAAGACATGAGATCTCCCTGATAGGACATGAGATCTCCCTGATGGAACATGAGATCTTTCTGAGTGACCATGAGATCTTTCTGTGTGGCCATGAGATCTCTCTAATTGGCTATGAGATCTTTCTGTGTGGCCACGAGATCTCTCTAATTGGCTATGAGATCTTTCTGTGTAGCCACGAGATCTCTCTGTGTAGCCATGAGATCTCTCTGTGTAGCCACGAGATCTCTCTGTATAACCGTGAGATCTCTCTCTATAGCCACGAGATCTCTCTTGGTAGCCCCGCGATCTCTCTCTATAGCCATGAGATCTTTCTGTGTAGCCACGAGATCTTTCTGTGTAGCCACGAGATCTTTCTGTTTGGGCATGAGCTCTCTCTGACTGGCCATGAGCCCTCTCTAATTGGCCACGAGATCTCTCTGGTTGGCCACGAGACCTTTCCGGTTGGCCACGAGATCTCTCTGACTGGCCATGAGATCTCTCTGACTGGCCACGAGATCTCTCTGACTGGCCACGAGATCTCTCTGACTGGCCACGAGATCTCTCCGATTGGCCCTGGGATCTTTCGGGATGGCCACGAGATCTCTCAGACTGGCCACGAGATCTCTCAGACTGGCCACGAGAACTCTCGGACTGGCTATGAGAACTCTTGGACTGGCTACAAGAACTCTTGGACTGGCTATGAGAACTCTCGGACTGGCCACGAGATCTCTCGGACTGGCCACCAGATCTCTCAGATTGGCCTGGAGATCTCTCCAACTGGCCACAAGAACTCTCTGACAGACCACGAGATCTCTCTGACTGGCCTTGAGATCTCTCTGACTGGCCTTGAGATTTCTCTGACTGGCCACGAGATCTCTCTGACTGGCCACGAGAACTCTCTGATTGGCCATGAGAACTCTCTGATTGGCCATGAGAACTCTCTGATTGGCCATGAGATCTTTCTGACTGGCCATGAGATCTTTCCGACTGGCCATGAGATCTTTCCGACTGGCCCTGAGAACTCTCTGACTGGCCACAAGAACTCTCTGACTGGCCACGAGATCTCTCTGAATGATGTCGATTTTCTGATGATTGGCCTTGAGATCCTTCCAATTGATTCTGGTTCCCTTCTGACTGGCTTCCACTCCTCTCTGCTTGGGACTTAGAATTTTCATTGCACTTCTCCTGCAAAGAATCACAATTTTGCAAAACAAATATAATATTTTGTCAAAGCCATTTCTATGGGCAATGTTTTTTAGAACTTCATTGCCCCTATTTTTATAAACTAAACAGTTCTCCGAACTGTTCAAGGCACCAGGAGGGAATACTAAGAAACAACCTCCACTCTCAATGGAATTTAAAATAATCCTTACTTAATATTAAGAATTATATTAAATTTAGGACCTCTTATATCGGTTAATTCTCAGTGTTTATTTACCTGCTTATTTACAGGCTGCTTGTTTAAAGAGCTTTGTCCAGGCTTGAATCCAGAAGGTTCTTGGTACGGTTTTGTATCATTTCCTTCCTCAAGGAATCTGAATCTTGAGTATCCTTTGAAAAATAATTATTTTCCGTATTTTCAGAATATGTCAGTAAATTCAACATATCTCTCAGAAGTATTATCTGTGATCTCACTGCTTTAAGGCTATTCACTGGGTTTTGCAAACTTGACATTTCATTAGTCTGATATCATCTGAGAGTCTCACCAAATTCTAAGTTTTTGCCATACTGTTTCTATTCGCATACCTTAATATAGAAGTCTTCTTTGTATACAATACCTCAAATTTGTTTTCATACGTCAACAAAGTTGGGGCATATCTTTTATCTACTAGAAAGAAAAGAGATGGAGAAAAACTGTCTGCTTTGTATTAATCATGTGAATATTTGCCTCAGTTGTCTGCTTTGATTTGGGTGTAAAGATAGTTTAAGAAATAAAGAAGATGGATCTCCAAAAGGCCCACAAAGATCAAATGTATGTTTAGTTACAAACATGAGAATGGGGAGGGGCACGTGGGTGGCTCAGCCTGTTAAGCATCTGACTCTTGGTTTTGGCTCAGGTCATGATCTCAGGGTTGTGGGCTCAAGCCCCACACTGGGGTATGTGCTCAGAGCAGACTCTGCTTGTCCCTCTCCCTCCACTCCTCCCCAACTGCGTGCTATCTCTCTAAAATAAATTAAAAAAAAAGAAATATGAGAATAGGCCACCTCACCATTCCTAGCAGCTTCGTTCCTGTAATAACCACTATCCCTCCTTTTCTCAGAACCCGCTAAGCCACTGAAGGATTCAAACAAGGACTATAATGAAGCTGGGGCGGGGGGCAGGGGATGCGCAACTGGCAGGGGGCAGGGGATGTGCAACTGGCAGGGACTTGGAATAGAATGCACACTGTCAAGATTATTCCAGCTAGCTGACTAAACCATGGAGAGCCTTAATTGTTGGGAAGATCTCTACAACGGCAGTCTGCAGCACAGTGTATGCAGACTGCAGTGACCCATCGGATTAGAAATATAAAAAAAAAGGCTTTCTTCATGCTCTGTACTCTGCCGTACAGTATTTGTTGTTTCAAAATGGGGAGGCCATGGTGCCCAGATTATTAACCATGCTCTTACACCTCCTGTATTGCCTCCTAAGGATGGAACTGGACCAACCAGGCAGGCTTGTGAACAGGTATAAAACATTTGTCATTGTCATCCTGCTCTCCCTTATGGAAGAAACACATATAAATTTTTAAAACTGTTTTCATTTGTCATGGCATAAATACTTACCAGCCTTAAATGCCTACAGTTCCAAGAAAAATAAAACTAGCAACATAATGCAACTTTCGAATACATTCCAAGTTTGCGAATTTGCTTACCTAGTTATTCACAAATATTTCAGATTCTTTGCGCTGTTTGATTTTTAGTATACTTTACCTCTTTGCCGGCGATGCCTACGAGCATTTGCTCGCTGTCTTGAAATTGGGTTCTTTTTTTTACGGTTCTGTGTCCCATTCTTTTTTGATTCAGTGTTTTTACTTTCTAACTTTTTAAGGATTATAATGTCATCTGTATTAGGAAACACATGAAAAACAAAGACAATAGAAAAAGCCAAGTTACAGCATGTCTCAAGTGAATAATCTATATTCTACCTCATCATATTTCAGAACATTGTAAAAATTGGTAGCCCTGAAAAATGATAACAGTATAATAATAACTAACTTGTAAAACCATAACAAAGACCAAACAATGCAGATATTTTAGGGTTAGATCCCCAGAGCAATAAAGAGAAAGATCCCTGTTAAACAGGTTTATAGTAACTTCATTTCTGAAAAAATAAAATACTTTCAGGGCATCTGGTGGTTTGGTCGGTTAAGTGTCTGCCTTCAGCTCAGGTCATGATCCTGGGGTCCTGGGATCAAGTCCAACATGGGGCTCCCTGCTCAGCAGAGAGTCTGCTTTTCCCTCTCCCTCTGCTCCTCTCCCTGCTCATGCTCTTGCATGTGCATGATCTCTCTCCCTCTCACTTGCAAAAATAAAATAAAATAAAATACTTTCAGAGTAAAGTAGCTTAAAGGGGAAATCATTTAAATAGATGATTTTACTAAATGTTGTAGTTTCAGAGAAACATAGAGCAATTGTGTCATTCCTGATGAAACGTTAAGTGCTAGACAATTGTTGAATTTATTTTTGCGAACTGCAAGAAAGTCGTGATGATGAAGCAGAGGTGATGGACATTCAGAGGAGATACCAAAGAGGCAAGGAAGTAAGATTAGTGTAGTAGCAGGAAGCAATCAGACTTTACTTTGTAGTCAAGCATGTTTTTACGTACTCATGCAGAGAGCACATACATGGCATGATCTGAAGGATGAGAGACTGGTACAACCTACTTTAAAACACCTCTCCTAACATCTGGGATGGGAAGATTTAACGGTGGGATGTTCTATCAATGGATGAAAGCTTACTTAGGTCAAGGGACCCTTAAAGATAAGCACAAGCTAGGTATTTGGAAAGAGCTAGAAATACTAGAAGAGAGAGGGGGAGCTGGGAAGGGTACAAAAGAGGAGATAGTTGTACACCAGAGATTAACTAATTCCTTCATTATTTTGATTATTACTAGTCCTGCCTCAGGTTCTCCAAAAATCTTGAAAGGGCTGGCGTCTTCAAACCTAAAAGTCAGGGTAAATCTCAACAATCAGTTGAGTACCATTGCCTGACAAGCCCATTTTAAGTCTTTGTTCTTTCTGCCTGTTGGCAGCCAATGGTTATAACATCTTGCAAAGACATAGCCTTTAACATTCTGTTCTTTGTATTCCTTCTGCATTCTGTTACCTTCTCATTTTTCCCCTCTATTCCTTCCCCTGTATTTGATGTTTAAAATCTGTACAAATCTCTATACAGCGTTCTTCCTCATTACAGTATAAGAGAGTTCTGATTACAGTATAATCAGAACATCTTTCAGGATGCTATTTTGTATAATGAATTTGAAAAAGAATTGAAAGGAAAAAGCTATTTTAATAAGAATATCATGTTTAAAGGGAGGGTCACTAGCCCAGGTGCTGCTGGGTGCTGGGACAGCGAAGGTTTTTTAAGCTCCAACCCCTCCTCCTCTTCAGCCCTGAAACGATGGCCAAGCAGACTTGTGGGTGAGATGAGTGACTTCTGAAATAGGAGAGCAAACCCTCAGAGAGGAGAACGTGAGGAGCAAGATCCTCCCTGAGTCAACGGTTTCACAAGGCCACGAAGCCATGAGGGAGTGCTCCGGGACCAGTCTGTCCTGTGGTCCTCATGGACAATTTTCAGTGACTTCATTTTCCTCACTTCTGAGTCACCCCAAATAAGGCAAGCTCCGTCTTAAAATCCCATGAGGATTAAGTAATTTGGAAAATGTCTTGGGCTCACGCAGGACTATAGCTACAGTTGAGAAACATCAACCCCGTACCTTGTTGCGGGGACGGCTGAATGGTTAAACCAGGTGGGTTCCTAAGAACACCTTTAAGTTGGATAGTACTTGAAAGTTTATAAAGCGTTTCCGTATAAAAGCTCTTGGCACAGTACCTGGCATACGTGTGACACTCAATAAATGAGACAATAAATGAACAGATGTTTATCAAGGGTCTCATGTATCTGAGGTAGTGCACCCCCACCCTTAAAGGGCAGCAGAGATTATCCTCACTTTTTAAAGAAGGAAATAGACTTATGTGACTTTTTCTTTTTTTTCTTTTTTTAGATTTTTATTTTATTTATTTATTTTTTTTTTTTTAATTTCACAGAGAGAGAGAGGCAGAGTACAAGCAGGGAGAGCAGCAGGCAGAGGGAGAAGGAGAACTGGGGCCCCCTTATGGAGCAGGGAGCCTGACTTGGGACTCGATCCCAGGACCCCAGAATCATGGTCTGAGTCAGTCAGTTAAGCATCTGGTATCAACTCAGGTCATGATCCCAGGGTCCTGGGATAGAGCACTGAGTTGGAGTTGGAGTTGGTTTCCAGCTCCTTGCTCATCAGGGAGTCTGCTTCTCCCTCCCTATGCCCCTCCCTTCTGCTTATACATTCTCTCTCTCTCAAATAAATAAAATCTTAAAAACAAAACAAAACAAACAAACAAAAAAAAAAAACCCTTGGCTACCCCAAGAATGAGGAGAGCAGCACCTAGGCTAGTAACCTCCATTTGAATTAACATTCTTATTAAAATAGCATTCTACTTTCAATTCTGTTTCCAATTAATTACACATCAAGTTTAGCACTCAGGTAGTATAAGGCTACTTCTAACACAGTTATTTGAGCACTCATTTTGCCCTGTCCCCTTTACAACCTTTCTCAGGCTTGTTGGGAACCATAGAATGCCATGGGATAGCTATGGTGAGACTTCCGATCTGGGCAGTGGCCACATTTGCACAATAGGACTAAAGTCGATTGATCTTTCCAACCAATCACCCTGCAACTCACATAAGCCTTTTTAATTCATGAGGGAAATATATATAACATGGCTCTAGAAACACCAAGCTTCCTCCTCCCCCATAAGCAAATCTGTCTCAGTTTACTTTGTGCTTATAGATAACATTATAAAGACTTCAGTCTTAGTGTCACTCTGACAGTGCCACATTAATGCCACAGGATTTTTTGAATCCTTTCCTTTTGAATATATTAGTACATGGAAGCATTTTCCTATCGCAATCTGACCCAACCCAAATATCATGTAACTCCCTAGTACTATGAATGAACAAATGATGGGAGGAAAAATTAGTGATGGGAGTACAATAGGAAGCAAAATGTTGTACATTTCAGGCAAGATTTTTTTTTTAATAAGAAATGCCATTTCCAAACAGGCTTTGCAGAGATTAACTGTCATTGTTCACATTCAACAAATAGGTATGGGTTTCATATCTGTTACGTGGCCAACAGCATCAAGATATTTTGACTTAGAGTAATTATTCTAGAAGAGGGAAGGTAGAAATAAACTATGATATCCATCCAAATCTACAAACAAGAGACTCTCTGGGTGAAAAATACATTATTTTCTCACCTATTTAGCCTTACTCCAAGGCTGTTTATGACCTTAAGTCTTTTGTGATGGTACTGACATTTACATTTTCATAAAAATAGTCACTGCTTTCACCAATTTAGCTTCATAAGTGATAGTACAGGCTTTTCTTTAAAATATCGGCAGCCCTGGGGCACCTGGGTGGCTCAGTGGGTTAAGCATCTCACTCTTGGTTTCAGCTCAGGTCATGATCTCATGGGTCCTGAGATCAAGCCCAATGTCCCTTGGGCTCCACTCTCAGTGGGGAGTCTGGTTAAAGATTCTCTCCCTCTGCCCTTTCTCTCATTTGCATTTTCTCTCTCTCCCCCCCTCCCCAAAATAAACAAATCTTTAAAATATCAACAGTGCTGTAATACGGGTTCGGGTTTAATGACCAAGCTCATAGCTGCTATATAAAATTCACTTAACTAGGGGCGCCAGGGTGGCTTAGTGGTTTAAGCCTCTGCCTTCAGCTCAGGTCATGATCTCAGGATCCTGGGATCGGGTCCTACATAGGGCTCTCTGTTCAGCAGGGAGCCTGCTTCCCCCTCCCTCTCTGCCTACTTGTGATTTCTCTCTCTGTGTGTCAAATAAATAAATAAAATCTTTTTTTAAAAAAATTCACTTAACTAATAGGAAATTCAACTTTGGCTTTGGTATTTTTCCATTTTTGTTATATTTTCCCACAATTAAACTTCATGTCAAAGGGCTCACTCATGCAAGGAAAGACAAGCACACCAAAGTAGAATGCAGGAAACACAGACAGGACATAGCAGGAATTTGTTCTGACAATCTATAACACATGTAAATGAAACTGTTTAAAAGCTGAAAAGGACATCATCAGTATGTTTTAGGCTTGAAAATAATCACCCACATGTAAGTTTCATTTAAACTGCCCCCTAGGGTGCCTGGGTGACTCAGTTGGTTAAGCGTCTGCCTTCTGCTCAGGTCATGATCCCAAGGACTGGGGATCCAGTCCCACATCAGGCTCCCTGCTCAGTAAAGAGTTTGCTTCTTCCTCTAGCCCTCCCCCTGCTTGTGCGCATGCTCTCTCTCTCTTTCAAAATAAATAATATTTAAAAAAGAATAAAATAAAATAAACTGCATCCAAAAAAAAAACCCCAAAACTGCCTCCTAAATCAGCTTTCCTGAAATATGACTAAAATACCACATTCACTAAAATAGAAAGGTA